TTTTCCAAAGCAGAAGTGGTTTGGTTTTGTTTTTCCAATGTCATCGTCCTAATGTCAGATTTTTTATATGGTAGGTGTTCATTTACTCTGGTATTTGGAGATGTTGTGTGGACAAAGAGGCTGTGTAACAGCTCAGAGGTTTCTCTTGCAGGAATGCAATATTTACTTACACCTCTGGATGTGAATTCTTAAAGCTGAACACAGCTGTTCTGAAGAATTGGAAAGCTGTTTTTGCTGATAAGGGATTGTCTCATAGATAAAGCATAGACCTGTTTGGCAGCTGCCATGGTCCTAATCCTGATAAAAACATTCTGCATCATGAAGGTCCACCGTGAAATATTAAGCTGTATAGTAATAGCAGATCTCAAATCAGATCTCAGATCTTTTTCCCATTTAGGTGGCACAGAGAAGGTAAGGTAGCTGGAACAGGCTGCCCAGAGAGGCTGTGGATGCCCCATCCCTGGAGGTGTTCAAGGCCAGGTTGGATGGGGCCCTGGGCAGCCTGGTCTAGTATTCAATGTGGAGGTTGACAGCCCTGCTTACAGCAGGGGGGTTAAGGCTTCATGATCTTTGAAGTCCCTTCCAACCCAGGCCATTCTATGATTCTATGATGATTCTATGATCCAATCTATACTTCTTTTTTTTTTTCAATCATATATATATATATATATGTACAAATAATTATATATAGATTAGACTCTTATATATATAGATTTAGTACACTAACATTGTAATGAAACAGGTGATTTTGAGGTTTAGATTTTTTTTTTAAATTTTTGCAAGTACAACTGGAAAGAAGTGAAACTATTATTATGATGTAACAGATATTATTAAGTGTGGAAATTGCAATTAATGCCAGGTTTCTGATATCCTGCTATACTTTAATATACTTTAATAAAGTTTAAGGATTGTTCAGTATTTCAGTTAGTTTTTAAGCTATGGGAAATATAACATATCTAAATAACTTTACTCAGTATTACTATAGCTGTCTTATTCATGATTCACTTTCAACAAAATCAGCTGCAAACATAAATCTGCAATTTTTTTTGAGAAATTTGGAAGCTCATTCTTTCCTGAAATTTTAACAACTGAAGCATGATAAGAGAATATATTGAGTTGTGCAAGATAAATATTGGACCAAGAAGCTCCGAAATTCTGGGTAAGCCACCAAAGAACATCTATACTGCCACTACAGTATTTCCCCCAAAATTACGTTTAAGATCTCAGGATTGTCAGAGTGAAGAGCACGTACCTTCGAAGCAATAATTAAACAAGTAATGTTTTCTGATGTCAGTAAGTTCAGTCACTGAGAGGGTTCACTGCTGCAGGGAGAAGTGATGTCTCCTATGCACAGGTCTGGTATGTTATATCAACATTTCATTTTATTCACTTGGTTTTGTGCTGCTCTTCACTTTTACAGGTGAGAACTGCATAATTATGAGCTTAATCTGAAGTCCAAGATCAGTTGTTAACCCAAAAATCTCTCACAGTACCCATTCCTCAACTGCCAAGAGCAGTAGAGCTGAGTGCAAGGTTTTGTAACAAATAGAGAAAACATCAAAATTATATCCTCTAACCTCCTTTTTCTTTTTAGTAAAAGAGGAAATTTGGCCATAGAAAAAGTGAATCAATTGTCTGAAGCCATCATGATGGCTTGTAAAATGCCAGCAATGGAACACAGCAGCTCAGTCTTCCATTTCTGCTTTCAAAAACCCAGAAAATTCATTTGGAGCTTTAATTTCCATTCAGTTTCTGCTTAGAGAGAAACAAGCAAAAAGCAGCTTTAAAAATAAAACCGACATGTTTCTTTCTTTTCTTAAGATTTCTCTGTGCTGAGCTTTATCTATTTCCTATTGTCCCATAGATAACTCCAAATCTATCCTTCTGACTTGAAGCTATAAAGATCTCTTTGCCTGTTAGGGAAAGGCAGACAGAGATCCGCAGTTCCACAAAAAAGCCCTTGATAGAACACTGAGGATATACACGTGGTATCCAAAAATCTTGTATCTCATGAGAATATACATAATATCAACCAGATTTATATAAGTATTCCACTCAATTTAGTGCAAATCTACTCCAAATTATTTCCTTTCCACAGTCCAAAATTGGGGTATATTTCTCCTCATTGGAGTACTATTCAAACCAAAGCAGTGAGTGCTATTAACAAAATTAAATACACCTCGTTTTGTTGTGCCAAAATATATTTAACACAAATCCGTAAACAAAAGAATGGTAAGCCTATGTGATCTGTTAAAAACAAACAAATGTTGGCAAAGTTCTACAAATGCCTTATCTTTTTGTAGCCACACGAGTTGCCTTTTCTTCTTTTCTCTGTTTTTCATTACTTGAAACAACCATAATAAATGTGAAAAGCCTGTAACTTCCTTTGGGACTTTCTCTGGAAGACATCACTGCTTTGGTGTGCAGCTAAAATATTGCTAACAAACACAATGAGAAGAATTTTAGGAACGGTATCAGAAATACAAAAAGTAATTTTAGAGAATGACGAAGGTAAGGGTGAGCTCTTCAGACTTCCTAGAAAAGAAACTAATTAAAGCTCCCTGAAGGACTCTGACATTTATTCATAGTGATGAGATGCTATTTAATCTCAGATTCTTTTGAAATAATTATTACTGCAGGGAAAAGAGATGTATGAGATAGGATGTTTTGAGTAGCAATCCATCAGGTGTTCACTTCCAAGCTGACTATGTTATTGTTCTGGAGCAAAAGGTTAGTTATCAGTCTGCCATCAGAATTTCCCCACTGAAAACTAGTGCCACTCTGCATTTTTCAAACTGTCAGTAGAAAACAGAGCTTGCAAATGAAAGATTGCATTGAGATGCAATGATCTTTATGGGTCCTTTCCAACCCAGGATATTCTGACTCCATGTTTCCAAATTTACCTTCATAGCTCTTCAGCATTTTGGGAGCTTTTAGGGATGGCCCAGGACAGAAAACCAAAATTTACCATACACATCAGTAACATGACAGTCAGGATGTTCTGCTACACTTTGCCCACATGTTGGCCCAAATTTTCACCAAACTCCAGGTCTTCATCCTCTTTAGCAAAAATCTTCCTACAAATATCTGATGCAAAAAGTTAACAACTGTTGAGTGTTTTCCGTTTTTTAACTGAAACATTTAGAAAACATTTAGAAAGAGCAATCCCAAAGCATTTTACTTTAGGCATTACTGTCATAACCTCAGTGAAAATACCTAAGTAGCTGTTTAGGACAGCTATTTCTCACAAACTTGTTAAAAAGAAAATATGTACAGGATAGCCATTCTGACCCTTCCTGTGAGCTCATTCAGTATGCCCTGTGTTCTCGCTCAGCAGCCACAAACCACAGGGTCTGTGGGAGGTACTTTGCTATACTTTGCTGATTAATACTGCAGTGTCTAGCTCTTTTCAGGAGCTTCCCCTTGCTTTGCATCGGTATGCACAACTCCTCCCTCCTGAAATCTCCTTTTAGTCTCATTACTAGACCTCCTATTCTCTTGCCAGGCCTCTGTTCTTGCTTCCAACACTCCTTCGCCTCATGTCTATGTAAAACTCTTCCACAGCACTCCCTTCTGTCAATGTCTGGCTTGGTCTGTGCCTTCCTTCAATGACTTAATTATTATCCCATTATCCCAATCTATTATTCAGAAAGGTCAGTGAGGCCCTGCTCAACTCCATGACTAGGCTTAGGCATGTCCTCATACCCTTGCTGTATGCTCCACATTTGCTTCCTGCAAACAAAGCCTTCCCCAACCACTTCTGCCTCTCTTGCCTCCAAAGCTACAGAAACTTGGATGCTGCCAGGTGGCTTGGAAATACACATGCCATGAAAACAGAGCAAACTTTAGCACTGTAAGCAAGCATAGGTCAATCAAGCTATGCTGATTAAAATTACTTGCTACTCTGTCCCAAATCCTCTGCAAGACTTAATATGTGTTTCTTTTACAATTAAGTGTGTCAGTCTAGGTTTTAATGCTGTAGTGCTAGGTTACTGCCAGTAACAATAAGCAATAGAGGGACAATGGTGGGATTTAATCCAGCTTCTCCCAACTTTTTGTTCAGTAGAGTTCTTGTTTTCAGAAATTCTCATGATCTCCAATAAATTTTTATTAAGGTAAGTTGCTTTATTAAAATAGCTACAAGGAACACGTCATAGCCTCATAGATTGTGTGAGTAGGCTGAGTTTAATAACTGCTGGTTTTCTCAATTTTCTAGATTTGAGGATGAGTAAAGGGAACAGCAGTTCTCAAATCAAGGAAAAAACAATTCCAAATATTTTTAATATTATTTTTTTGTTTAAGAGTCTGAGGATTCACTTTTTTTCCCTTATTATTCTGAAACAACTCCTTTAAGATAAAGGAGGCTATGAAGACTTGTAGAATGTACGTAATTGAACTTAACTTGCAGGAAGACTAAGTGAAATGCAGAAGTCAATCCAACATAATGCTCTGACAGCTTCTACCATTCTCACAGTGACTGAGAATTAAAGAGAATGCATAGTTCAGTACACACATTTCCAAAACAGCCAGTATATTTCAGATGGAAAAATGTAACATGTTTTAGGTTCCCTGGGTTGTTCCTTCTGCCTGTCTAGCCCAGGTCTTAAGTCAGAAAATAATGTCTATATTGTCCAAAGCTCATTTACATCCATTCACACATTTGCAAGCCTGTTTCCCATTTAGGTGGCACAGAGATCCTTAGGGCTCTGTCTCGTTCTCTGCTTACTTGGGGATCCAGCAGGGAAAGATCACTGCTGACCTCCCCATCACCCTTCTCAGCATACCCAATGCTTTCTTGTTCCTAAGGCTGGGCTCCCCATGTCACTTGTCACCAAGTGAGAAGTGGAACAGTACCTTGAGCCTCCTGAAAGACATTTCACAGAACCAGTCACTAGTTCTGCCTCAAGGAAAAATCCCTGATGCAAACACTTTCTGAGAACCAGCACACCACCTAGGAGGGGTCTACAAGCCTCAGAATCACAGCATCGCAGGACTTTCATGTGGCTTAATGTGTACTTAGCCACACCAATCAGCTGACCAACAACTCCAGCTGCAGATGATGACTCTTCATCTATCATCTGTACTTGATTTACAGCCACAGCATGTGTTTCATGTTAGAAGCAAAAGGGCTCTGCACTTTTCACACATGGCTCTTCGTGGAATTGATCCAGTTGCTTCTGTGACCCAATCCGAACTTTGAACACAAAAAGCCCAAAGTGTGGTGTTTTCAACATGCAATTATTGTGTCTGTGGAGCTCCAAGAATGAAATAAGCTGCTTCTAATTATGTGAACTGAATGTGTGTTGATGGCAAACTTCAGTAGTACTCATGGAGTTTTCAGAAACTCCCAGAGAACAGTAAATGTATCATTAAGACTGTTGAGAAGCTCTTTTTCTGATTTCTTTTTTTTTTCTTTCAAAGATGTACAGCTGGGCAGGACTAGAACACACAACAGCTCATAAGGACCAGTACCAAGACAAAGTATGGCTTTCAACTGCTCTTTTTTGATGCTGAGCAAACTAGGTAAGAACTATTTCAGATTTCACTGAAGTCAACAAAAAGCATTCTCTGTATGTTTTCAGGAGCTCTGGGATCTAAATCTTTATCCTCACAATTCTATTCTCTTAACTAGGTACAAGGGATAAATAAACTGATTCCTAACAGCCCTTTCTATATTTCTATGGCATGTCATGGGGAACACGCTCTAAGCTCCTGGCACAGTGAGAACGTGAACTCCACATTTGGGATACAGTAGATTAAAAGTGAATACTGATCATCGCATCAAAAAGTCATTGTCAATCCATTCCAGACTAGCCATGACAGGCTATCTAATTGTTCAACTGTCTTAAAAGAATTGCTTTCTTCATATTATTAGTAGATGGGCAGCCAATTGCCAAAGCTGTCACTAAGTCCATACAAGAACAGCTTCCTATCATTCCCATGACAGTGGTGTCTTTCTGACGCTACTCATTTCTTGAATGAGAAAAAAAATAAAAAAAAGAAATACTTAAAGATAAATCTTTCATTATCACAGGATTTAACAGAGAGAGGGAGAAAAATATAATATACATATGCATGAAAGCACACAATAAAACTGTCAAGGTGATTCATACAATCACCAAGGTTGGAAAAGACCTCTATAACCATCCAGTTCAACCATTCATCTATTACCAATATTTCTCACTAAACCATGTCCCTCAGTACAACATCTAAACCTTCTTGAACATCTCCAGGGACAGTGACTCTACCACCTCCCTGGGCAGCTCATTCCAGCAGCCAACCACACTTTTGTAGAAGAAATTTTTCCTGATATCCAATCTGAATCTCCCCTCTGTTTCTGTCACTAGTTACATGGGAGAAGAGACCGATCACCACCTCACCACAATCTTCACTCAAGTAGTTGTAGAGGGTGATAAGGTCTTCCCTGAGCATCCTCTGCTCCAGACAGCAATCCCAGTTCCTTTAGTGACTCCCTATAAGGCCTGTGCTCACCACTTTCACTGCCCTTCTCTGAATACACACCAGGGTCTCAGTGTCTTCCTGCAGTGAGAAGCCCAAAACTGGACACAGTACTCAAGGTATGGCCTCGTCAATGCTGAGTACAGAGGGATGATCACTTCCCTGCCCCTGCTGGCTACACTGTTTCTGACACAAGCCAGGATGCCATTGGCCTTCTTGGCCACCTGGGCACACTGCTGGCTTATGTTTAGTCAAGTGTTGCCCACCATACCCAGGTCCATTTCTTCTACATAGACTTCCAGCCCTCTGCCCCAAGCCTGTAATGTTATGTGGGGTTGTTGTGTCCAACCAGCTGGATTTAACTCCATTCATCGCCATTCCTTGGGCCTGGCCCTCCAGTCAGCGCTTTACCTTGTTCCTTCTTGTTTGAATACCCCAAAGACAGATCCACACTGCAGACATTTCCAGCTTTCAGACACAGCAGAATACAAACTAAAAATGACATGTTCAGCCATTCATTCAGATCAATCATATTGTTTTTTAAAACTCATGTATAACCTTTTAATTAAGTGTAACAACAAAAGTTACCAGCACTGATTTCAAAGGCTTTGATAGCTCATGTGGAGCTACTTTTCCACAAAGTCTGCCTCCATCTTGGGTCCATCAACCCATCTTGCACTCTTCTAACTCAACTAATGACACCATTTAAGGCCTGTTTACTTTCTTCCTCTACCCATCTCTGTAGGTAACTTCTCCTTTCCAATTCAGTAAAAAAACACCTTCATTGTCAAGTCAACAACATTGATTTCCAAGATACTTACCAGAAGAGTTCAAAGTGTGTTACTTAATCTTTGGAGATGAGAGATTTACTTTCTCTTCCATAAATTCTGCCCAGTGCCAAGCAATTTGTTAACACCATATAGGATTAGAGTAGTGATACTTGGCACACTTCTTATTTTGGCTTTTATGCAGAGAAAATTCCAAAATAAAATCTCCGTTACTTGTTACTTTGCTTTTCATCTAGAAAATTTTCCTATGATGATAGCATGCATGAATTTGCATTACTACATTAGGACTTTCCTTATTCTCACTCACAACAAGGAGATTTTGTCATAGAAAGGACTACAGAAAAGGATAGTGCAATAATGAGCATCTTATTAGCAATGTAAGTTGAAAGGAAAAGATTTGAGTAGATAGAAAAAAAAATTATATTTTCACTTATAATGTCAGCTGTTTCTGGTAAATGGTAAAAGCATGCAAACCTTACTGTATGCAGTCATTAACTTTGCTTCTTCTTCTCCTGCAATTGTTTCTTGTCAATAGGAAGTCAGTTACCCATCCTTAATGGATCACTTTCTTTTATGCTTAATATGATTTCATACTCATACAAACTTATTTCAAACTTTTGGGAAAAAAAAACTAATTAACTGGTGATGGGACGAGGGCATGATGATTCCATTTTAAAATATACTATACTGAATGTAAGCTTTGTAGCTTTCTCACTCAGTTCATAGTTGTTCCAATGTTGTGTTTTTTTTTCCTGCCCTGGATGTTTACCCTAGAAATCTTCTCCCAGACATGATGCTGCACATAAAGAAAAGAAAATACACCCAAGAGCTGCTGTCATTTCTTTGTACTAGTTGGCAATGCTGAAAGCCATCTTGAATTGGGTCCACAAATTCATCAGTTTATGAAATCATAAGAGTGAGTACAGTGGTGGCTTTTTTTTTCCTACACAATGACTGATATTTCTTTTTTTAATTTACAGATATAGTATGATCTAGTACAGGAACTACTCCAGTGACGGTTTACAGGGACAATATCTCAGCAGAAGGGAATGGACCTCTATTCAAGTTCATCTGAACACACACAGAAACCTTAAGAGCTGAATCTAAGAATTTAAAGTCTGCTTTGGACTCTGCTAGAAAACTCCTGGCATCAGGCTCTGATTGCTCATTTGAAGAGAAACGACTGCAACACTTATTGACCCATCAGGATTCCTGAGCGTTAATTTATTAATGGAGCTGACTCGCTTGTTTCATGTACACCTCAATCACATCCTCTGACATCTTCTGCTATTCATTGGAAATGAACTCTTTCCATCCAGGGGATTTTACCCTAGACGGCTGAGACTACATAGTTATTACACACTGAAAAGAGACTACTCAAGCAGATCCAGACTGTTAGGATGAAGAAACCATAATTGGAGACGGTATGGTTTGCTGCTGTGCTTCTCAACCACAGAGCTAGGTCACCAGAGGTGAAGGTAAATGTGTCTGTGTTGTAGTTACTCTGGCAGCTCTTTACAGTACACAAGGCCTTGAAAATTTTACTAGACAATGAAAGAAAGATAAACATAATTCCTTCCTCTTACTCTTCAAAGTTGGGCTTTCTTAACTCATTAAATCCCACAGAAAACTTTACAATGAACTTGCCTCCACTCTCACTTTTCCTCCCTGTGTAGCCCTTCTATTACAAGTGTGAAAATACAGTGACATTTTTGTATCATTAATAGGTGATAACTAGCTAATAAGAGGGAAAGAAAAGATGAAGCCCAATACATTGCTGTGTATAAATTCTGGACACTCTACTGGTTCTGGAGTATTTTTCCTACTATTTGACTTCAGTAAAGTCACTTCAGTTTTCCCTGAGCCTGCTTCTTCTTTGTAAATGGGAGAAATGAAATATTTACTTTTTTGAGATTCAAATGTGAAATGCGTTTAATGACAGTTTAGAAGCACTGATCAGAGCAACTCAGCAAAGATAGACAAGAACTAGGCCAAACAGAAATGGCAGATTATAAGTAGAAGAGTGATAACTTCAAAAATGTGCTTAACCACACAAGATCTTGTTTACCAGATATTTTTCCAGAAAATTTTCATTTTATGACATCATTATAAATTGAATAATCTGAATTTAAGATACTCACCCAAAAGAATCCCTGTGACTTTGGCACTTCTTGGTGCAGAACATTTCTCATAGCTAGTTTTACTATTACTGCATTTTTAAGATAACAGAGTAACATGGCCAATGCTTTGATATATGATGAAACAGAATTTACAAGAATTTCTATGTTGAATATTTTCTAAAGAAAGCAATAGAAAGAACTATGGCTTGAAGAAGACGCTGACATAATGAGCTTTAGATCTTCAATCTCAAAATAACAATGAACAGAATCTTTGGGGGCAGCATTTTCTGTGTTGTAAATGCACTGAGGTCTAGTGTGCTGAAAATTGAAAATTTGGCCAGAAACATGTTACTGAACAATGCATGGGTTAGTAACTTAGTGAAAGTTTCAGTTTTCTATCAGTGCAAGGATTATCTACAGAGTTCAGAGTACCAGTGTCTATCAGGTAGCAAGGTGCCGAAAGAAATAAAGGAATCTAGAGATGATGATGTTTCTGTTCCAAAACCCCTTTGCTTTTATTACTTTTAGAAAAGGGTTCCAAACTGTGGAAAGAAGACGGAATACAAGTTCCAAACTTCACAGCTGGAACATATATCTCCCATGAGGTGATCTGAAACATGAGGTCTGAGTATCCCTCTAATTGGGATGTTATTCAGACTTAAATTCTGTAGCAAGACCCAGATATACCCAGATATTGAGGCATACCGATGTCTAGATTCATGTGACAGTAAAACATGTAAACTAAGCTGAGTTCGAAGTCCAGGTTAGAAAATTTCCACAGTCCCAACATAAGCAACTCCCTTCACTTTGAGAAACTCTGAAGGGTATTACATACTGCTGAAGTACAGAGAGATAAAAGAACCATGGTTAGGGTCAACAGGCCTATTCCTGATTTTAAGAGAAAGGCTTTAAAAGGAGTGCAGAGAAGACAAGCCCTAAAGAAAATAATTAGTCAAGCAAAAACATTTATACTGGATTGTGGGAACAACCTGAAATGATTTTCCCTTTGGGACCTCAGTTGCAGAGGCTTTGCAGGCTGTCCCAGAGACTTTACTGTCTTTGGATCATGAAGCTCCACAGCTGCTTTCTGGGGAGAAAACTACCAGAACTAGGGGAAAATGAACTACAGGGAGGAGGAAGATGCCTTAACAGCGTGCTTGCAGTGGAAGAGGTCATCTTATGTAGGAAATCACAATAGAGGTCAGCAGACCATATTAATTAAATTCTGCTACTTTCTGGAAATAAGATATCACAGTAGATGAAGATCAGCAATAAGAGATAATGAACGTCCGCTGAATGCAGAGAGAATGGAGAAGGAAACAGTCAGGCCTTCTTGACAGTATCTAGAAATGAAATGGAAAAGTGATGTTTGAATATGAACACAAGCCTTAAGATTTTCTTTTTCTTTTTCTTTTTCTTTTTCTTTTTCTTTTTCTTTTTCTTTTTCTTTTTCTTTTTCTTTTTCTTTTTCTTTTTCTTTTTCTTTTTCTTTTTCTTTTTCTTTTTCTCTCCTCTCCTCTCCTCTCCTCTCCTCCTCTTTTCTTTTCTTTTCTTTTCTTTTCTTTTCTTTTCTTTTCTTTTCTTTTCTTTTCTTTTCTTTTCTTTTCTTTTCTTTTCTTTTCTTTTCTTTTCTTTTCTTTTCTTTTCTTTTCTTTTCTTTTCTTTTCTTTTCTTTTCTGTATTTTGCAAGATTAATTTTAGAAAATGTGTAGAAAACCTGTGCACATATCCTGTAGCTGACTCCCTTTAGAGCTGGTTCTCAGCAAAGAATCGATTGGAACAATCTTTCTCTGGTATGCACCCAAAGAAGTCAATAAAACAACCCAAAAGAAGAAAAATTTTCCATTCTATGTAATCTGAAATATGTGAAACAGTTTTTATTAGAGAAAATGGAAAGAGAGGAAAGATCACCCTTCAGCTTAGATGTAGATTCCCTCAACAAATATTTGAATTCTTGCCAGCGTAGCTCCTGAACATATAAATAACTTAGCACAAGCCATAAAATAAAATTGGGGGACACAATAATGTTTTGTATCATTGGTTTCTAATGTTATGGTATCTGAGAAAGCATGTATATTCACTTACATTTCACTAGATAGACATTTTGAAGGTTCAAAATATCACTGCAAAATTTCATTGGGTTTCCAGAATGTAAAACCATAAAACATATCCACATCTTCTGAGGCAAAGCACATTTGTGCTGTATTAAAGAGAGTATATTTTGTTCAAAAAAGGCGTAAAATACGAATGTACAAATGTGACATAAAGTTCACCAAGCATACATTTGAGTGGGTTTTCCATAGACTCATTTCTACAGTTGATGGAACAAGAAGACAGGATTACATTACTTGACTTTTTCAGATCAGTTTCTGGCTGCAAAATGCTTATGAATGTCAAATTGCCTCTTTGCCAACCCCTTGCCAATGGCTGTCAGCGCCGGCCAGCAGGGCTGAGCAGCACTACCACCTAGTGGTACAGCCTTCCCTGGAGGTGACCAGCCACGAAAATCTTACAGATCAAGTGCTCCTCTTGCTGCTGGTACCCAGAAGACACTGATCTCTTACAAAGTGGTCCAAAACCCAGTGGCATTAATTTGCCAGTATGACACAAAACCCAAAGGGTGGAACATTACAGCAGTTTCACACGTCTTGATAGGAATAAGGTGGCTACAGATTCATAGTCATAGAATCAATCATTAAGGTTAGAAAAGATCTCTAAGATCAATTAGTCTAACCATCAAACCATCACACCATGCCCACTCAGTTATTAATGTTTGAGAAGACCTCCAAGATCCCCAAGTCCAACCCCAATCCACTCTCACCATGCCCACTAACCATGTCACCATCATACAAGCATCTATACAGCAGTTGGTCCTGTAACAGGTTAGAAAACTTTCCAGCATCTTATATAGGGAGGCGTCCAAAGAGCATAGAATATGTGAAAGTTAAACAAGTAAAAAAATGGGATTAGGGAATTACACACTAAAAAAAAAAAAAAAAGAAAGAAAGAAAAGAAAAAAAATAAACCATAGATGGAGCCCCAGATAAGTTCCTGCAAGGGTGTCTCAAGCACTGAAACATTACTATGTTAAAAGTGGGGGATGGAAGCTGAGGACTTGCACAAAATCCAAGCCAAAATGAAGGCTTATTTTGTAATCCAAAAATACTGTTAGCCTAGTGAGGATGTACACATGTAGCAGTCCAGAAGAAATGCTGAACACAGGTACATATCTGAGATCCATGACCTCTTCACAAAGTAAGAAGAAGCAAGTACCTTTATTTGATGTTAGCAACACCTATCCTTTTTCTTTTTTAACTCTTAAATGAGAATTTCAATTCCCTTACCACACTACCAAAGGAAATGCAATTACAGAGTTCTCTGTAACTCTCCACAAAACTTGCTCACCTTTCTAAATAGGTATACAACTTCAGCAGTAAAGACAGGTGGGGGAATTTACAGCCCAAGCTATACAAAGGGAATGGAGCCCAAAGCGCAAACAAATCGGAGATCAACGACATACTGCTGATCCATATCCCAAAAAAGGCTAGACCCATGAGTGAGGTGACACACTGCAAGGGACTGTTACCAGCGAGACATCCACACCAAAGAAGGGGAAAGAAGTTGGATAGTCTATTACTGGAAACATTACATATGGAACAGCAGTGCAGACAACTAAATTCCATTTATCTTCTGTTGCCATTCCTACTATCATTCCTAAGATCCAACCTTATGACTGTATTTCTTTTTCCTGAGACAAGTTTTCTCCTTGTAGCACAGCTTCCCACATACCTGGCAGTGGAGAAGTTCTACAAGATGGAGGCTGTCTATGAGATTACTGGTCATCAGACTGAGTTAGTTTCAGAGCACAGTGGCATGTCACATCAGTTGTTTTCTTGTCAAGGGTATCATAGACCAGTTATACACATTTTTTGGGTTGGATTTAATCAATTCAGAAGATTGATAGTCTGCATTATAACACACAAATAATAAAACTGACTCATATTTTGCCAAGAATATGTGAAATATTGTAGAACTGGTCACTATAGGATAAAACAGACAAGAAAAATAGTCCTGTGTGCATTTTAGAGAACAATCAAGAGAGAATTTGTTCCACTGCTGGGAACAAGGGCCAGTTATGTCAACTTGCAACCAACAGGAAGTAAGGGCAACAGAAAAAATAAACCGAGGTAGTTGAAATAAACTGAGCTTGTCATGGCCTCTTGCTACTTAAAATGAGAGTATGCAAACAGAAGAAATAAGCAAACCAAATTAAGGTACAAAATACGTCTCCACACAACTTTACGGAAAATTGTGCTCTACTGTACTTACCAGAGCACTGGAAGGAGAAACATTCACTCTGGCCACAGAAACATAAAGGGAAAAATGAGAAGAGAGTCCACAACAGACTATGTGAGAGAATAGGAAGGTTTTAGTGACAGTAAGAGGCACTGTGAGTTGTCATCTCTAGAACTTGAAGGAGAGGTAAGTGAGGATGAAGTGAAAGGTCCACCCAAGAGCTTGTCTAGGGCAAGACTTGGCCTTAAGACTGCCTCCACCAAGAAGGAAAGAAGGATAATTGTTGCAGGCAACTTCTTTCTGAGAGGAACAGAGGGCCCCATGTGTCAGTCAGACCCTACCCATATGAAAGCATGCTGTCTCCCTGGAGCTCATATCAGAGGCATTGCAAAAAACATTTCTGGTGTGGTCCAACTGACTGACTACTACCCTTTAGTGATAAT